ACCTCTGTGGGGCATAGAGTTCAGGGTACACGCTGGCCCTGTGGAGAGAGGATGGAGGGAGCAGAGGGTGCCCTGGTAATAATCACTGTGCTGCATCAGACACAGGCCTGGGCTGTCCGGGCAAGTGATGGGTTGCAAAAACAGTGCCAGCCAGATCTGGGCAGGTAACACACTGGCCAGGTGGGGTCTCTGGCCAACAGGGGGCTGCCCATCTAAATGGGGCACCTGTCGCTTCCTTCCAGACAACCATTCCCCTACATGAATCTCACCTAGAGCTGCCAAATCTTCCTATTTTTTAAAAAAGAAATCAATATTTGTATGGGTACTTTTCAATTTCTAAATGTTGCCCACAAATTGAAAAACTCAAGATATCACAAAGACCAAACAGAGCCTCCTAATTTTAGCCGGGAGGTCACCAGTATTTTTTATATCTTTTTTAGGAGCAGAGGCCAGAGTTGCGGCACGGACGCAGCGAAGGACTCTGGGAACAAGGTAAATCTGTGACTCACATGTGCTTTTGCACCAGAGAGTAAAAACCGGAAGGCGTATGCAGTTCCAAAATTAATGAATTAATCTCTTAATTAAAAATGGTAACGGATGAAACACCACCCTTTTTCTACCGGCTCAAAGGGCAGCCTGGAGGCTCCCTGGGCTCCATTTTCCCCTGATTCACTGCCCTGGTGGCTGGGCCTCTTGCCTGGGAACTGAAGTGTCAGCTGTGGCCCTTGCCCACGGAGGCTCCACAGTGCCCACCCTGCTGTGGGCAAGACTGACCCCAGGAAATGGCAGAAACAGCAGGAGGGAAGAAGAGCAGCCAGGTGGAAATCTCCTGAGCACAGCGCAGCCTCGAGGAGGCTGCCCTTCCAGCCTCCGGACGGCTGCCCATCCTGCCAGCCCAATGCCACGTCTCCAGCCAGCTGGGTGGCCGGGGACAAAGGTGCAAGGAGGGGGCACAAACCTGCCACTTCCCCTTGGGTCACCCAGAGCTCCCCTTCCAGCTGGCAGGGCTACCCTCCCTGTGGTGGGCACAGCCTGCCCTCCTGTACCCTGGAGGCCGCTGTCTGACTGGGGAAGGCCACTTTGGCCCTGGCCGCAGAGATTTAGCAGCAGCTGTCCACCAGGGGGCGACAGTGGGCCAAGCTTATGGGCTGGGACTCTGGCCTTCCCACTGCCCTGTCCACGCACTTGGGGGCCAGCCAAACCTAGGGCTGTAACCTCCAGGTGACCTTCAGAAAGAACCTGGGCAGGCAGGAGGGGCTGGAGCTGAGAAGCAGGACGTGGGTAGCCTGGGCCCCTCTTCCCCAAACGGGCACTCCAGCTGCCAGGCCCCAGTCATGCGCCTATATCCACTGATCATGAGGGAAGGGCCCAGAGCCAATGCTTTTAAACACCGTGAAAGAGCTAAATTTAAAAATCTCAGGAAACCCCAAGGAGGGCCTGCTCATCCAGACTGTGTCAGGAGAAGGAACAGAAAGTTCTACTACCGTTCCTGTTCCCCTGGGCTTGTCATCAGTGTCCTGTACACGGTCCCTTCCACAGCTGCCTTGCAGAGGGGAGGGGGTAGAGAAGTGGGAGTGGGGGGGTGGGGGGAGACCAGCACAGCAGAAGCGCAAATTCAAAAATCTTCATTTACCCCAGACTCTTTCCTTGTGTTGTAATTCCAGCGTTCTGAACATTAATAGACATTTGTTTTAAAAAATAACAGAATATAGCTCCAAGTAAATCTCACTTTGCTTTCTCTAAAATCTGTGATTTCCTTTCAAGACTCTTTCGGCTGTTGGGCTGGTTTTAGCCATCAAACTAATTGGAGCTTAGTTTTCATTGCAGTGGAGTGAGCAGGAATGAAATCTTATCCTTTAATCATGAAGGAAAATCTTGTCTGGAAGTTGTCTTTGCCTTCTCGGTATGCTCCCTGGCTGCCCGGCAGACTTTCTCTACATCACATCAGCCAATGCCTCGTGGCAACCACTAGCTGCAAAGGATCATGAGGAAGAGGAGGGGGCTATGGGGCTGTCAGGGGCTTGGTGCAAACATAACCCCACAGGGCTGCCCACACTGTTGCCCCAAACAAAATGAGGGTTGTTAGCAAGGAAAAAGAGAGGAAATAGTGTCAGGTCAATCAACATGACTGAGCACTTCACTTATTCATTTATTCATTCATGAATAAATATTTTTTGAGCATTTATTAAGTTCCGAGCCCTGTGCTAGGCCTTTGGAACACATGAGTAAACAAAAGAAGCAGAGACATCTGACCTCCCAAGGAGCTTACATTCTTGGAGGGGTGAGGGCAATTTTTAAAATGAAGCCTTATAGTTAGTTTCAGAAGTTGACAAATGCTTTTGAGGGAAAATGCAGCAGAGGAGGAGGATAGAGAATGATGGGACTGGGGGTCAGGTTGCAGTTAGATACTAGTTAATCTGGGAAGGACTTCCCAAGAAGGGGCATTTGATCAAAGACCTAAATGTACAAGGGAGCAAGCCATAATCTGGGGGGTGGGGGGGCATTCCAGGCAAATGGAACAGCCAGTGCAAAGACTTGGGGTGGGAGTGGCCCCTACTCGGTTGTGAAACATGAAGGCCAGGATTGATGGAAAGTAGTGAGAGCGTGGAGAGAGTAGCAAAGGGGAGCCATAGCAGGATCTAAAAGCCCCACTGTGCATTATAAGGCCACTGTTAAGAATTGGCTTACACTGTGACGGGGAGTGAAGGAAGGGTTCTAGGCAGGGGAGGTACATGATCTGACTTGTGCTTTCCTGGGATCATTCTGGTTGCTTCATTAAGAACCAGCTGTAGAGGACAAGGGTGGAAGGCCAAAAACCAATACTGAGGCTATTGCAATACTCTAGGCAAAAGATAATTGACTGCTTCAACCAAGGTAGCAACATTCTGCAACACATTAAAAAAACTAGAGAGCTATAATACAAAAAAGGAAGGAAGGAAGGAAGGAAGTCAGAAATTTCTCTTCCCAGTGTGTGTATCCCTGGCTGCTAATAAAGTGCAGAAGCCAGAAATTGAAACAGCAGTGGGCTTTTTCATTCTCATTTTCTCTCATCTAATACCAGCCTTAATTATGTCCTATTAAAGTCAATTCTTGAGCTACAAGGCAACCATCTATGAACTTATATATTTCCTTCCCCTCTAGTTTGCAGAGCTTCTGATCAATGAACACGTTCCCTGCAAACAAGAAGAAAGGTGATGGACTCAGTATGATACTTTGTTTCAGGATAAAGTTACGGAATTAAAAATAAGTGGTGAATGATCATGTTTCCCTTTTTGGTTTTAATAACCAAGGCTTAATCCAAGAAACCTGCTTGCATAGATGTTTTTGTTCAGTAATCATTTGTTATCATCCCTACTGAAAGATGTAGCTTTGGATGACTGGGTAGACTCTGGAAAGACGAAATGAAGGAGGGAGCAGATGGTGAATGGGACCGGTCGGGAGAAAAAGGAGGAGAATGGGGAGTAAAAGATCCGCAGATGGTAGCACCGGTGACCCGGGAGCAGGGCACAAAAGAAGACAGAATGAGCTAATGCTTTTCCAGCCACATCTGCTGACCCCACCAGACTTACAGCTGTCCTTTCTTGTCCACAGGGTTTTTGGTTGACCCAGGGGGCAGGTCAGGGCTTCCTCGTGTAGAGGAAACGTCTTGTGCAGGTAAGCGCAGTTTATTGAAATTCTATAAATCATAGTGAGGTTGATAATGCTACAGCATCAAACATGTACATCTGTACACTTGCTTTCATCCTCTCCCCCGGTTCACTCTCTCTGACACCCACGCCCCACCCATTCCGTCATCATTCTATCCTGCATTTTCTTTTCTGTCATTCTGGCATAGACTCACCCTGCAATTGACTAGAGTGATCATCTTAACTCCACTAACCATCACAATAATGTATTCTGTGTAATTGCCATTAACCCAAATGTAAAAGGTGATACTGTCATTGCAGACATTTTTAACTAGAACATCTCATTTTGCAAATGGGTAAAGAGAGGCCATAAATGACTCTACAAAGGCCACAAAGTGATTTGGGGACAGAAGGCAGGATGACACAGAGTGGATTCCTTAGTATCACTCATTAGGAGCTCTTAGTTTTTAACTTTTCAGTGAGGCACATTTTCTGAACATCTTTTTAAATCTCAGATTTATTATTGTTTTCTCCAGGGCAATGCCGCTGGTTCCTCGTAGCCCCTCCCCTTCCCACCATGTCGAGATATGTGATTTCATTTAAAGATTTTTCAGCTCTCCTCCGCGGCAGAAGAAATGATGGTAAAAAGACACTACAAAAATTTTTGTCTATTGTCCAAAACAAAAATCTTACCAGTCACAGCCCCACTACTGTAACATAATTATGTTCGTTGTTGCATAGCTTACTTTCTCTTTTGCCATATAATAACCAATTTTTACTTAGTTGAAGTCATAATGAGTCGGCTATTTTATATTCAGACAATCTTACTTACCAGTGAATCACAGGCCTTTTTCTATTCTGTGTAATCATCATTTCAAGCATTTGCTTCTGATTAATACAGGTTAATTTTGGAACACATATGGAAACTACTGAAATTTGTTGAAAAGAGTACCAGCTATAAACTCCCTGCCCTCGGAATAACTCATGCATTTTCCCAGTCTTCATACACATACTTTGTATTTAAAGAGTTGGAGTTAATGCCCTATAAGCAGGTTTCTATTTGCTCCCTGCCCCCTTCATTCAGCGCGAGGTGGAGACAAGGACCCGAGCCTCAGTTTCCCCACAGGTGAAACGTCACGCCAGGGGCGGGAACCAGGCGAGGGCTCCGCAAGGACCGCGGCGGGCGAGAAGTCACGGGCGACCGGGACAGCTTTCAGCCCCCGCGGTGTGTCCGCCTTCCTGCCGCACCGTTTCCGGCCACGCGCTGTGGGCCCGGGGGCCGCCAGAGGGCGCTGTGGCCCCGGTGCGCGGCTGCAGCGGCGCGGTGCGGACTCTCCCCGGGCTGCCCGGGCGCCGCCCTGTCCCAGCCTCCTCTGCGGGTAAACAGACATGGCCGGCGAGAGAGACCCGCAGGACGCTGCGCACAACATGGGCAACCACCTGCCGCTCCTCCCTGGTAACCTCCCGGGGCCGGTCCCCGGCGGCGGGACGGGGCGAGGCGAGGCGAGGCGAGGCTCGAGCCCTGAGCGGCGCGGCAGGGCTAGGG